GGAGAATATTGGTGCCATAGACTTCGAGAGCTGAAACAATGAGGTGTCAAAATGTTTGGTACAAACAACCACCAATGCTGATCAGAGGGGACGACGGGTCATTTGGGGGCTGCAATTGTGGAGGAGGCTTCATGGAAAAAGTGGGAATCAGAGGAGACCCTGGAGGATGACGAGGACTGGAGCAGGCAGGAAAGAGAACGCAGGACAGGAGAGCTCACGATGAAAACATTTGGCAAAGGCGTATGAGAACCAACCTTCAATTTCCTCTTCTTCTTCATCTTTCTCTGTCATCACTATGATATTATTATCTAGAATGATTAATTGGTAGTCATATGTGTGTGGAGAGTACTCAAGTAGCACCAAAGCAACGTTTCCCATTGCTTCCATGGACCTGAAAACCTTCCTTGGTCCGTCCTTATAAGATACAAGACTGCATTCTCCAGAGCCACCTGGGGAAAAGGTCCATGGTCGACCACCCTTTAACTCTCCCATCCCCGCAGGAAGCCAGAGCACCCCTGATCAACAAGCTGTAACCCGGGGATATAATGACACCGTGCTCTGGCAGCGTACTCTGGGCAATATCAATTGCTTCATAAATACCTCGGTCTTTTGTGAACCTCTTGTTTATGAATCTCAGCATGGATGCTGCTAGTGGGTCCGTGTTTACGCAGAACTGAATCAGCGACTCAGCATTATAATGGACCATGGAATCTCTCTCCCCACCATCCCATGTGAGGTGCTGGGCATCCAGCCTTTCCTTGAATACCTCTAGCAATGAGAGGCTCACTATGCAACTTGCTCCATTTTGGATCAGGTTGAATTGTGAAAATATTCCTCCTTATATTCAGTTAAAATCTGCCTCTCTAACACTTCCAACTATTGCTCCTCATTAGATCTTCCAGAAATACACGAGACTTGTGTAATATTCCTCTTCCAGGAATTTTTGGTTGGGTTGGATTGGAGGTCCCTTCCAATTCTGGAATTCTGTGATTCTGTGCAATTGGTGGCAAAATAATAAAAAGTAGGTAATATTTATATGGTGATGTAATTTGCAAAATGCTTTCTATATATTATTTTATTTGGTGTTCATAACAACCCTGTTTGGTCAGAGCTATTGTTTTCTCATTTTACAGATAAGGAGACTGAGCAGAGAGTGTTTACATGCCCTGCCTAGTGTCTGAGTTAGGATCTGAATTTAGGTCTTTTCTAACTTCAAGTCTGGTGCTCTGGAATATATTCTATGCTACCTGGACAGAAACACACACACACACACACACACACACACACACACACACACAGAGTACAGAAGCGGCTGAAAGGATCTCTAAACCTTCATAGACTTCACGTAGTCTAATCATAAAAGGTCCCTGAGCTCTGTTGGTGCTTTTGAAAAAGGGGGCAGCTTGCCCAGTAAATGTGTGGTCAAAAGGTGATAGGAACAAAAAATTTTTAAAAGAAGAATCACAAACTCCTAATAACTATATGAAAGATTGCTCCAAGTCACTAACAATAAAGAAATGCAAATCAAAACAATTTTGAGGTTTCACCTCACATCTAGAAAATTGGCAGTGGGGGGCTTAGGGGGGAGAATGACAAAAGATGGGAATAGTGAATGGTGAAGGAATTGTGGGAAGACAAACACATCGGTGGAGCTGTGAATTGGTCATTGAAGAAGCCGAGTACTAGGGAGGTGGCACACAGCATATATGGTCCAACTTAGTGAGCTGGCTAATTTTGCTGTACTGCTTAAATTTTTTTTTTTTTTTTTTTGTCTACAGGAAATGCCTCACTAGTGAGGGGATCAGAACAGTAAGTGGTTAATTGTGGGAATTGAGTAAACCACACTGACTCCATCTTGTGACTCAATTCTGGAGGCTAGCTCAGTTCCCTTTATATTCAATTATGGGTCTAGTCCAATTTCTGTCTTATGAGAAAACTTTATTCAGTTATGGGAACTGAGAGAAAACTTTGTTGCATTGTTTGAATACAGCCCTGTGTGGCTGAGAAGCTGGACCATGTGTCCCCACTGCTTAGAGACACTTAACTAAGGACCCAGTCAGATCCAAAGATTGATACAGGGAGTTTATGCACCACTATACATCTCAAGCAACCCATATGTCTTATCTGAAAACCGGCCCTGTACTGATCAATCAGTTACTGTTTCCATGTTCCTTTGAACAGATACTTGGGGGGGAGTGGGACCCCTCTTTTTCTGAATTCAAGGAATTGCATCTGTTCACTCTTTCCCCCTCCCAACTTGGAAAGTCCCTAATCTTTTCTCCAATTAGAAATGTAATTGCCTAATTTTGTATTTCGGTTAATTGTTTTCTTTTAATTAATTAGTAGTCTTATTTGATTGTTTTTAATGCATAAAAATCTTTCTCCCCCTGTATTCTGAGTCCATCCCTAAGCTGAGGAAGGGACCTGGTCCCAAGTTGTTAGGCAATTGGCATCATTGCTTAATAAATCGAAATGCTCAGAAGTTTGAACCTTTGTTTCTCAGTCATTTAATCTTTCACCTGCCACACTAGTAACATTTACATAGCGCTTTAAGGTTTGCAAAGCGCTTTACAAATATTTTCTCATTTCATCTTCACAACAACTGGGAAGGTGGTGCGATTATTATTTTCATTTTACAGATTTGGAAACTGAGGCAGATAGTGGTTAAGTGACTCAGACAAACTCACACAGCTAAGAAGTGCCTGAGGCCAGATTTAAACTCAATTCTTCTGACTCCAGGTCTAGTGGAGGGCAAAGATGTCTTAGAAACTGATGGCAATATTGACCACAAAGGACCTCAGTGAAAAATCTTAAATTGTGTTAAAAAGAAAGGAAAGGCTGTGGTGGGTAGGTTTGCCTAACTAGGAATTTTTGTATCTGGAGCAGATGGAAGGTCGAACTACCTTGGCTGAAGGGATGTCAGGGTAAAATCCTTCATTGAATGTGGAGGGAGGGAGTGGCTGAAGGGAAACACTGCATGCTCTTTTTCCACTCTTGGGTGCTGGGCCAGCCATTGGGGAGTAGGTTAGAAACCCCCTAGAGCCCACGTGGCAGTGTAAATGTCTAGCCATTTTGGGAGTCCTATACTTCTCCATCCCCACCTATCCTTCTAGGTGTTGGCCTGGGTGGGAGGGTCCCAGCCCACTCAGACCCTGTCCCCGACCACTCGGACCCTGTCCCCAGTGAGAAAAACTGATGTCTCTCTCCAGCCTTGCTAGACCCCAGGAGTATGGAAACAGGTTTGTCTCCCTAGACTTCAGAACCAGTCCCATGATGGGGAAATCTGATTTGCCCAAAGTACCAGCTACTTATTTAAGTTTGTGGGGAAGGAAGAGGCTGGGGGTATATTGCCTTAGCAAAGCAAGAATGAGGGGTTACAACCATGTGTATGTGATGAGGTGTGATAGGAAGGACCCATTTAAAAGACAATTTGGAATGGTGTAGAGTCAGGAAAGAAGGAAGAAAACAAGTACTTTTAAAGTACCTACTATGTGCTAGGCACTGGGTTAAGACCTTTACTAATATTATCTCACTTGATCTTCATAATGCCCTTGGGAGTTTGGTGCTCTTATTATACCCATTTCACAGCAGCAGAAACTGAGGCAAAGGGTAGAGTCAGATAATTGTCAAATGTATGAGGCCAAATTTAAACTCAGGTCTTCCTGACTTCTGACCCAGTGAGTGCCACCTAACTCCCAGGAAGATCTGGGCTTGAATGCCACCTTAGACACTAGCTGGAGGACCTTGGCTTAATTTCTTCATCTGTAAAATTAGGGTTTTGACTTGATTGTACTCTAAGGTCCTATGCTCTAAACCGCCAGTGGGAGGCTTCTGGTTTTTAAGTAGGTCAAATCTAGGCAGGGGGCCACTTGCCTGTTTCTTAACTCAGCATCTTTAAGTCATGGGAGGAAGAAAGGGTAACCATGCATAAAGCCCCATTCCCTGGAAGGGCTTGGGATACTGGGCACAGAGCTCTTGCCAAGCGCCTAACCCTATGTTAAACGCTGTGTTTCATGAAAAAAGAATGAATCAATGCATATTTATTAAGCACCTACTGTGTGCCAGGTGCTAGGGATACCTGTACAAACAATGAAACAATCCTTTGTTGCAATGAGCTTACATCCTAATGGGGGAGACAACAGGTACATATAAAAATTTTATGTGTGGGTATATATATAATATGTACATATACTGTATATTATATGTATATGTAATATATACATATATAGCATAAATCTTTAGTGAGTTTCTTTGCAAAAAAAAAGTAGCACCTACCTCATGGTTTTTGTGGGGATCAAATGAAATAATACACAATATGTACAATAATAAAACACTTGGCAAACTTTGATGCACCTTATATCTATAATCAAGTTAAGATATACGTGTGTATATATACATATATGCAGGTAGCTAGATGGGACAACACAGTGACATATCTATCAAGTCAAGATAGATATATATGTGTGTGCATGTATATATACATATATACAGATGGCTAGATGGGACAATGGATAGAATGGTAAATCTCTGTATCAAGT